CTGGTCGTGTGTCTCTGCAATAAATGCGCGCTTATAAATCAAAAGAATTATGCTCATGCAGATATAATGAGTTTTTCCGCCATCGCAAGCTGGATGTGTGTTAGACACTCCTAAGTTTTCATACCATTTCATACCCACCTACGAGTTAGTGTATTTAGATGATAGTTAGAATATTGGTCTTCCCTTTCACCTAAAGTTACATTAGTGTAGAGGTCATTAACTTATTTTTGACTGAGCTCTTTAACACGAAACGTCATTCGTTTTCTACTAAGCTAAAACTCAAACTTTACATATATTTTTTTTTTTATATAGAAGAGTGGACGTGGACCAATTAAGTTGACCCTTAAAGTGTTGGTTCTCCCAATATTCATACCCAAAGCCAAAGGGTAAAAGAGAGACGAGTCGCTATAGCCATGTCCCTCTGTCTGCCCAGATTGCCCGAGTTCTGAGAAAAGTAAAAATTATGTTTTTCCCCCAATACACCCCCACTCCAGGCCATGATGATATTTATAGCCATAAATGTAATTTTTGTCCATGCTCTGACCATTGTTGTTTTAGCTTTGCTTCAACTCTGAATTAGACAAAAAAGCATAGACATAATTCGATTCAAATTGTTGCAATTAATTAAACTCAAGTTCAAAATACAGGGTAATGCAATTATATAAACTATATATACATATGCTAATGAACATTTAATTTTCCAAACGCGTAGGTTTCTGTGAATTTTCTTCTGCTTGTAAATCTTCCAATAATTCGTATTATTGTCCTTGATATGATTTTTCTTCTTAGGTCGCCTTAACCACTCTGTTCTTTGTAGACTAGCAAGGAATTATTTGCCATTTACCTTATCTTTATGCAAAGCTGACAAATCTTTGATTAATTTTATGATCAGATTATATTAGTAGATCTCTTTATCTTCTGCTTAAAAACCGATTCGTGTTAAGCATTTCGGGGTATTCCCTTACCATATAGGGGCACATTTCGATAATCAAATAAGCTATTAAATAGAATTAAGTTCCCCTGTTATATTTGCCATTTTTAGGCAACTGTTTAAAGTTTGTTGGGTCTTACCGTGGGACATAGATGGCAAATAAAACGATCTAAATGAGCTCTAAAAAATGTGAATGCAGTTTAGTGCTTCAATTTCTAGAATTGCAAAATGTTTCCAAGAGGGGAGGATGGATCTTAACAACAATCTTTGACGCGCCATTTTTACCTTTTTTTTTAAAGGTGAGTAGAGTGTTACAATCCACTTATATTTACAGTAAAGTGAATAAGAAAGGTGTATATAACAACAAATTAAATAAAACTACAACAATTTCGGCGTCCACAGAGCAAAGATAATGTGCTGTGCACATTAGTTTAATACTTGGCAATGTTTTAATTAGCATAAGGACACTACATACGTACATACAAGTATATCGCTGGAACTCAAAAAAGTCAGTGGAAATTATTAGCACCTTTATATAGGTCAAAGAATGAATGAAATGAAATGCACACTAATTTTCCCGCATTCCAAAAAAAAATTCCACAAATGAATAATTTCACATTCAATTCAATGTTCTGATATTTCGTATTTAAATCATACATATATAAACAAAGCAAATTTATCTTAAAGCATATTCAACGTCCGATTTAAATATGAATAACATTAAAATCAAAGCACGATTTTTTGTTATTAAAGTGTGCGACTTTCAATTAAATGGTTCAACATTTTATTAAAGTTTAATATTTTCAGTCACTTTTAATATCATCATTCGTCTATCGGGAACTGCTCTATAATCAAAATATTTATATGCAAATATATATATGCATGTAAGGAATATCAGTTGGTTGTAGTAAGGTAAGAATATTTAAATCTACGTGTAAACAATTTAATTTACAATTTACGTGCTTATACTCTGTTAATGAAATGTACAGGAGTATATCAGGTTTGCGAGAACTGTGAAATGTAATAGGCAGAAGGAAGCGTGGCTGACCCCACAATATATACAGGGTGCGCCATCTTTTATGTCGGTATGTAAACATTGAATATCTTTGAAAATAAACAACCATTTTCAAGTATGAGATATTTTTATTTAGTTTGGTTCTGTACAATTTCTTCAGACTAATTTTTGAAAACAACATCAATCAAGTCAATCGGTTCACTAATGACAAAGTTATTCAATATCTACATACCGACATAAAAGATGGCGCACCCTGTACATATATACATTCATGACGAGCATGACGAGACGAGTCGATCTAGCCCTGTCTGTCTGTCCGTATGAACACCTGCTTCTCAGAGACTACAAGAGCTAGAGGCATCAAATTTTGCACAATGATGCCTTACGTGTGTACGCTATACGAGTTTGTTTTATTTGTTTGGTTTTCTCTCCACTTCCCCTATGGGAGATTTTCCGACTTTATTTTGGAATTTTCATCCCTTCCCCCACTCCACTCCCACTGTATATACATATGACCAACTACTTACCGCAGCTGTTGTTGTTGTTACTGCTTTGTAGAGGCCCACGAGACATACACAGACACACACATACACCCATAGACACGCATAATTATTCTCCACATATGTACAGAGTATTTCAAAGTCGGGACAGTCGACTTTAGCTTCTCCACTTGTTTTTTTTTCAGTATGCAGTTTTAGATTTGGAACTTAAAACTAACGACCCCAGCAGAAGTGGAGCGGGGCGGACAGCAATGATTCTGCTTGAAGTATTCTAGAATACTCAAAGGGAAATGAAATTTTAGCTGAAAGCGCGCAATGTCGGGCGGCAGGCAACATATCAATTGAATGTCTTTTGCGCACAAACACACGCAGAAGCATACACCCACACACACACACAAACGCAAAATAGCAATCGTCATTAGCAGGATCCCTGGGCCTAACTAAATGCTTCAATGAATGAAATGCGCACCCAAATGGATGCCTGAGTAGCAATGGACGAGGTAGTGAGAGCGGCGACTACCTGTCAGCGGGAAGGGTTCGCTGTTGATGGTGTGGGAGAGGCTGTGTCATTCATTTGCGGCTTGGACCCGTCCTCCCTATGATAACGACAACATTGCAGGCCTACTAACAGGGTTTAGGCAGGATTGGTCGCCAGCCAACCAACACACAATGAGAATGGAAAGGAATAGGCAACGACGCCGGCTCCGCAATGAATCGTATTCCGGACATTCACATCGAAAAATGTGTCCGAGTGAGCTGCTTTGGTGACAATTGAAAATCCAATAAGGTCTGCCGGTTGGGCGCCGCCCCACTGGCTGTAGCTATTTTAATTTAATTGACGCTGGTTGTGCCTAATCACAAACCCTTACCGAGGTCGGTCTGGCCTTCAAATTGCACATGGGATTGTAGGCAGTGACAGCATTTGCGGTAAATACTGAAGTAATGAACTGACTAGTCTTTATCAAAGAGCACTAAGCTGTCTGGGTGGGTCGCTCTTCGAGTTAATGGCACATAAATTTTCCTGTGCACCATAATTGTTAATTGCTTAGGAATGGCACACAAACACACTCATCTTCTACAAGACTTATTTTATTAGTGGAGTGCTTTGTTGAATAATTTCAAAAAATACCAAGTTGGCAGCCCCCAAGCCAGAATTTCTCATTAACAGGGCTGCCTAATCACAGCTAAACACATGCATACATATGTATGTATGTTGATACTCGTATGTATTTACTCGTACATGCATACATACATACATATGTATGTATGTACATAAAGGGCGCGCCATTGCAATTTTCGGTAGAGAGTACAAATCAGAAAATTCCGCACTCACGCATGGCACGGCTTGTCTCGTAGAACAATTTCAACAATTGTCCATGATCCGAGGGGCAAGCGGCGGCATGGAGGAGCAAAGGGTATTGCGACGCATGAAATGCATGTACTCGTACATATCACCATGTGCTTCAACAGCTTTTTGGTTGCTTACCCCGGCCCAAACAAGTCTCACAACAGCACCATCAACAACAACAGCAGCAACAACAATGACAACACACCACAAACAAGTGTTCTGCAGTTAAGTTTTTGCAGAAAGGATACGAGCGGTAGTTACAGTTCGGAACTGGCCTGGTGTCAAATGCAAAACCGGATGCGGAAATGCAGGCGAGTAGAATGGTAGGCAGAGCAACGTAACCGGAGGAAGAACAAGCCAGTCAAGCGGGCAGACAAATCAGCTTTGCAAACACTCACGTCCACACAAATACACACACTCACACGCAGCACAGAAACACAGATACACACAGTTGAGTGATTTTTCGATTATCATTTGCACGCCTTAGGTGACAAATCAAATGCTCAGCAAGTGCATTGAAGCTTGCCTTATACCGGTCTGGATGATTCCGCATGGACGGCTGATGGATGTTGCTTACCAGGTTGACTATTAAGTTTTACAATTGTAAGGTACTGGGCAGATGCTGTTTGCTGCTGACCATGCAATTATATCTACAAGTACATACATACTCGAACATGTAGATTTATCCTGAATCTGTAAATGAAGGCGAACATTCCCGCTGGAGTCGTGCCGAACTCTTTAATCCGTATACGAGTATGTACTTAAAATAAAATATATTTCTTAGAATTGGCTATTTTAATGAAATTTTATAAACTAAGAATGCTCATTAATACTCATAAATCTATATGCACCTTTTGTGATGAGCAGAAGCAGCAGCAAAAACAACAACAGCTGCTGGCATAGCATAGTCAGAGATTATTTATTTATGACTATCATCATTTTAGGGTTAACCAGTCACGATGAAATTTGTAATGAAGACAAATAGGCATTAACAGGACATGAGCTCGAAATCAAAATAATAAAATAAGCTCGTACATACCAAGTTTGCTGAATGTTGGCTCAACCGATTCCGAAATCCAGGCTGAACGCCTGGACAGACAGACGGAAAGAGAGACAGAGCTATTTCGATAATATACCCTTTTTACTCTACGGGTACAGAGTATAAAATTGTACACACAACAAACATCTCAGATCTTGGATCTATCTTTTAGATTTTCTATATTCCGTTTTATTTTCCCAACTTTTCCATATGCTTTATGTATTTCTTGAACAAAAAAGTGCCCCTCCTGAACGAGATCTTGGCTACCCCAATGATCAAGTTGCAAATCACTCATGAGCTATTCAAGGTTTCTTTCCCTTGTGTAAGTGACTTTTATCGGTTTGTATACCAATATCCTTTCGTTGAGATTGCTCGGGCCCCTCCGATTCAGTGTTTGATGCCGCGGTTTGTCCCAATTCACCCTTCATTAATTCCAAAGTCATTGCAGCATGTTGTATTTGGCGGGTTAGGCGATCGCGTTCACGTTCTTCCCTCAAGCGATCAAAATCGTCAATATCGGTTTCTAGCATATCTTCCTCGTCCACATTCTCTTCTGTGTGGTCCAATGGGCTCTTATCAGACGATATCGAAATGGATAACGAGCTGGGGCTAAATCGAAAATGATGTGAGGCAAAACGAATGCGCAGTTCATGTTCGCTTTCTTCTTCTTCACCGTCCTCTAAGCTTATGTTGGTCAAGTTCAGTTCATGACCGGAAGATGTATGGTGTTTGCCAGGTATTGATGTTATCTTAGATAGGTCCAACTTGGCTGTTGATGCTTCCGGATGCTCGGCACGCTGCACTTCCCCTTGGTATGGCAACTCATTGGGGAAAACCTCATCCCAGTACTGATCCCGCAGTAATTGTGGATGGTCGTTGTGCATTTCGTCCACAATCAAATAGCTCACCTGCAAGTTTCGATCGATTAGCCAGTTTAGTTCGAAGTCATCGTCATCATCGCCAAATGGACAAATTAGTGTTTCGGCCACTTTCAGCCAACCCATGAAGAAAAAGAATTCCAGCGTGCTAAAGAGTGGGAAATAGTAATTGACAATTTTCTTGTAGCCCTCATCACTCTGCCGCTCTATCCATTGGTGACCAAATATGGCTGCCAAAAAGTAGGCGTAGACCGCCAAAGTCACCACTTGTGTATACACTAACGGCACACTTATGGAATCGTAGTGTATCAGCATGTTGCAGCCGGCTCGAAACTTATTGAGTTCATCGATCATGGACTTCAGCGAAAAATCGTCCCAAATGCGACCCTCCTTGCGCGCTCTTGTCACTATGCTTGAAGCCCACATTATGGGCATCCAGTGCTTGGGATGTTTCGGGAACTTTTCGTCCATGGCTTGGATAATCGCGGCCTCGTTCCTGTTAAGTAGTCCAGCGTCGACAAGATAGTCATAGGTTGGAAAGCGGCGTTTAATACCAGGAGATATCATTGTTAGCACCATAGTCAAGGCGAGACAGACGTAGCGCATGATGGTGCGGCGCATCAGCCGGCCATGTTCATCTTGGCCTCGAACTAAGGCGCTAACGTAGACGGCAAGCGGGTCAGGCCAGGGCACTGTTGTGTACTGACTCCACCAGCGATCAACTATAATGGCCACATAGAAGCCCAGTACAAAGGACAACGGTATCATTCCGCCGTAGTTGTGGCAGTATTCAACCAAATCCTCAAAAATGCTGCAAGTATTCTACCGTTATTTCATAGGTAGTCCCAATTTTCACTAAGCTCACACTTACACCTTACTATCGTCCTCAAGTACAAAACGGTACAGCATTGCCATGGCGTAGAAACTGGCCAGAAAAGCCACCAAATCTACCCAAATAATTTTGTAAATGCTTGCGCGCCATCTGAAATACGAGCATTGTAAGAATTCGACGTACTCCGATTTCGGTGATAAGTTATCGCATTTACCTGGCCAAGAGTTTCCAAAAGCAACCAAGCTGGTGGCAAGTGGCTACCTCAGCAGTATAGGAGACTGTCATGCTTCTTCTAAATATTTCTTTTAAACGACAGCACTGAGTAATACTTTCATTCCCAATGAAAGGATACACTTTATTGAGATGCCAACTCAGTTTTGCTTTGATTTTTTGAGAATAACATATGATATCCTAATATACTTTGTAAATTCTAAACAAAGATCACTTCTATCTGGCAATAAAAAAAATTAATAGCTCAGCTGTACCAAGTTTTATCTATGAGGAGATGAGGACTTACTGCTTTTTTAGGTTGGTGCAAAGTATTTATCAGGCAGAAGGAAGCATCTCCGACACCGTAAAGTATATATATTCCTAATCAACATGATGAGACGAATCGGTCTAGACATGTCCGTCCTTCTGTCCGTCCGTCTGTATGAACGCTTGGATTTCGGAAACGGCTGAGCGTACATTAACCAATCTTGGTATGCTCCTAGTCCCTCGCTCCTAGTCCCTCGTCAACACGAGTTTATTTCATTTTTTTATTCCCTCCTCTCCCCTCTAAAATCCTGTCAATTTTTCAAAAGCTACATAAACCAAACTTTGCAAAAGCAACCCCTATACAGTTATCTACTTTTGTTTTTAAATTCTTTCAATCCAAATAAAATTCTAAGAAAAGTTGTAATCGATTTAACTTCACTCCGGTACTACGCCCACAAACTGCAGCATCAAGTTCGCTCTTCTTCTTATTTTTTTGGTCTGCTATGGGTACGGGGTGTTTCACTGTCGGACTCCCTCCAACGTAGCGTTTTCTCTTGTTCTTAGTTAGTATGTATGTACATAGATATATCGGAACATTCATATGAGTATTTGGTATATCATGCACACATTATGATTAAAATTGTCCATTTATTTCTGAGGCGCAAGGTATTCGGGTGCAGTAGTACAGTTTGCTTAAAATTGTCCTTAAGATTTGTTTAAACTCAACTAATGTGCTACTTAAGGACTATATTTTAGTTCCTGATATGCTTGTGCTATACCCTCTACAGACGCCCAGGACTATATTGATTCAATTTACATTTCGTTTTCCAACATTTGCCGCCTTTTCAAGTTGGGTGTAGTTTTCGTTAGATGGGTTTTTAATACAACATATTGCTTATTTGGAAGAACAAATGCAATTTATATGTGCATTCAGTACAATGCGTAAATGTGCGTTAGCTTCTGCTACTAAGAGTATGTTTACTTTAATTACACAATCACTGCAGCTGCTACATAGTATGAGCTGTGTTCAATGTTGAACGAAAATGTTAATTGTCATCATGTGGACGGACGGCAAATGGCAAGGAAACGTCGCTCGTCTCCAGACCGACGTCGCTGTTGAGCTGCTGCTGATGGTTATCCTTGATTGTATGCAGCAAGGATTGACAAATGAAATTGCTTATTGATGAGAGTAGTGCATACACACGCACACATAAGCGCACAAGGACTGGCGCGCTCTGTAAATGGAAATTGCATACGTAGCATGCTTTTAGGCGTCTCGACTGTCGCCGAAATGAAATAAGTGCATAATGGAAATTTGCAAAAGCCAATTTTGTAATAATTTAAATTGAATATTTATGTTATGCATGCGTGTGTTTGTGTGTATGTGTGTGTGTGTGTGTGGCATTGGCATACAATTTATAATCGACTGCCGGCATTTCCGAGAGTTATCAGAGTGCATGCGTGTGTATGTGTGTGTGTGTGTGTGTGCGCAGAAATGCATAGTACATTAGTTTCGAGTGCGCCGCCCTGCCTATTTGCTTATTTGCATATGGGTATTTGTCTTTTGCCAATGAATTTCTAAAACACACATAACCACCCATACCCCTCAACTCCGCCCATAGCCATGCCAAAACTTCAACTGTCAAAACACGATGTGCCTGGCGATGAAGGGGGAGGCATGGACTGATTGGCCACATATTGTTTGGAATGGTTGCCATTTAATTTAGACTTTTGTTTGTATGGCATTAAGTTAATGCAAATACAGCATGTGTGTGCCATCAAATACATTACCTCACATTCGTCACATTAGAAAGCTACTTAGCCTTTAAGCATACAAGTATTTCGCATTTTGTAGCCAAAGCTGAGCAGAACGTAGGTTCGTAAGAAAAAAGACATAAACTTGAACCACTTAGAACTTAGTGGAGCCTGGATATTAAAATTGGTTATTCTTGCTCTTGTACTTCGTGAGATCATTGCGGCTCGTCGCGTTATACTGAACAAGAATATGAATACATCTGGGGATCTGGTACGCTTCTGCTTCTGCGCGTTACGTACATTCTCTTTACCGTTTACGTACAGGGTATAAAACTAAAATTAAATAAATAAAAGTTAATTAAATAGACTTGGGCTTATCTATATGTGTTTTTACTGATTTAATTAATATATCCTCGCCAACTTGCTGCCAAAATGGAAAACAATCACTGCCCATCCCCGACAATCTTCGTCGATTAATAAATAATGTAAAATATTTATTCCAAAGTGCACATGTTGTAGCCCATCCCGAGAAATATTGCCGCATTGGATATTGGATTTTAATAACGCTTTTGATAAAAGCATAGCTGGAAGGACCCAATCGGAGATCTCGTCAATGGACAGCAACCACTTAGCACCTGCCCAGTGCGCCCGCCGCACAGCTTCAGCTCCATTTGCGGTGGACATTAAAAATTCTAAGCAATTTCCTTATCTGCTTAGAGTAATCCAGGCCGCAAGTTCTTAATATTCACTCTGCTATGGAAAATAATTAGCATGCTGTGGAGAGGGCTAGCTGGGGAGGCCCGTTTAAACTCATATTGTACAAAAGGCACTCTAGAGGGGCATGAGTCGGGGCCGGGCGAGACGTGGCGGGGCAACTTTCATTTGCTGCACTCAGCTCAACATTTTTCATTTCCACAGACAGACTGTGGTTGTTGTTGCGGTGTGAACGAATTCATAACTTTTTGCATATTATTAAAATGTACAACGGATGAGGATTCCACGTCAACGTCTGGGCGCTGTCAATGGCTCCATCAGTCAGGTTCTAGCCCCTTTCCTGTATCCTGGGCGCGTTCCCGGCACGACTCGCTTGTTGGCAATTGTTCAGCTGGAAGCAATCAAAAATGTTGATAAAAATAATTTAAAATTCCATTTATATCCTTAAGGACAATTTGGCATTCGTACCGCTACTAATAATATTATCAACAACAACAACAACAATAGCAGCAGCAGCAGCAGCAACAACGCGACATCGTCGCATTTATCGATGCTCAAGCACCATCCTCTTTGCGGCGTTCCAATCGATCCTGTGGCGCACACTCGACGCCTTTCTTTCGCTTCCTCATCGCAGGCGCTTCAACAATTTGTCAGCAATTGAAATTCACCAAACATTTCTGAATTTGTTTGCCTGACTTCACTTTGGCTGGGCATTGGCATTGGCAGTGGTAGACCAATCTCGTGTGCCCCCAAGCACATTTTGCATCTTGTTGTACCATCCATCGATTGCCTCACCGCCTGCCGGTGTATTCAACATCGTTGTCATTGCGCTGCCCATTCCTCCCCTCTCCAGCCCTCTCTCCTTACGCCGGCGACTGCTCTCGAGGTCGCACGGCTCTGTATAGCAGCAGCATCGGGACCATAAGCAGCAGTAGCTGCCGCGGCACCCACTGTTTTGATTTTTATCCACAGCGTGAATATGCAAATTGGCAGTGGGTAACAAGACAAGTCTTTGGGCTGGCTGCTCTAAAAGCATTTGGCCAATCAAACATGGCTGACAATACATGGTTGATATGATTTGACCGCGCATTATAAGGCCAAGTTAAATGGCCTACAGGCTTGTTTAATGGACAAATAATAATTGCCGAGAACAAGTAGGGCCAAAGCACCAGTGTTCAATCTAAATGGAAATTTAAGGTCGACGACGGAATATTAAAAAAGGAGCACGAGTCAAATTAAAAATGTATAAATGACTAGATATTCATTTATTGTATTAAACAACTAGTTTCTGAGTGCTGGATCATTTCAGGGAAAAAAAAATTCCTTTAAATCTAGTTATTTGCACTTTCCAAGATTTTATAAATAAGGTCGAAATAAAGGTCGAAAATTTGGTACATTTTTAAGTTTAAATCATATCATTTAATTAATCTCCACATAGTTCTTATATCAATAACTGAGAAACAACGAAACGCTACGAGTTTATTATATTTTTGTATTATATTGAAGACAAATCTCCAACACAAGAATTGAAAGGGATCGAGGCTTTGGCCAATTGCACGTTGACGACAACCACTTACTCGCTAGCTACATATCCTTCATTACGTGTTACCACTGTACTGCTATTGCCAGAACGAAGTGGAGATGATATCTCTTTGGCTACCACATAGTATTTGTATTGCTGGTTCAGTGGAAAACAGCGAGCGCCAGCAAAGCCATTTAAGCCACCAGAACGCGGTTCACATTGTGCCTGACCTATAGGAAAAGTAAATAAAAATATATTAAAAAGCGTACATTAGACAAAATTGTACAACCTAGAAGTGAATGAAGTGAAATGTGTCTCTGAGATGAAAATTTTCTAAGCATTTTTTAGAACAAGGGAAGTCAAAGGCAAAACGCTTTCATATACAAGTATATGTATTTGTAGAACGACACGGATTGATGGCTCCGATGATAACTATTATACTTATTATTAAAAAATCCCAGTAGCTGGATATAACGGGGACACATTATACATTCATATACGTGTTACACAGTTTATAAAAGAATTTCACAATTTTATTGCAATTCTCACCAATCTACTTATAAGCTTATGTCATGGAGAATAGGAGTTTCGTTCCATAACAACGATTTTTGTGAGTCTACTTGTATGTCAGTGTGCTGAGGAAAGGAAAAAATGGAAACGTGGAAAAGTACAATTGCATATTCAAGTTTTGCACTTGAAATTCACTGATTTGTATCGGCGCGCTCATATGAATACCCAAAAAGCAAGGAAGCCAAAGTCTGCCCAAGTTGGACCTGCCAGTAGGCAGCGGGCAGAAGCGGGAAGCACGCCACGGCAGGAGCACGAAACGGAAGCAGACATACTCAGAA